TAAATTTATTTTTGTCCCTTAAACTTAAAATTATTGATTTTAATCTATGTAATTTTCAAATATCTTATTTTAGTCCTTCAAGTTACTAATAACATATCTAAAAATAATAAATTCAAAAATCTTATTTTAGTATCAATTGAGTTTAATATGATATTTTTCACTAATAATAATATTAATAAATAAATTTTATGTGATAATATTTAATAAATTCATTAACAAAATTTAAATATAAAGACTAAATAAAGTTTTTTTTTAAAATTATAAAAACTAAAAATATCAATTTTTAATGGTCGTGCACATTCACATATTGATCTGGTTGCGTTTGTCGATCTTCCGTCACACTCATGGTGTAAAATAGAAGGTATACGAACCAAGAAAAGAATGAAATCGAAAAGGAGAAAAGAAAGGATATGAGCAGCGCCATTCCAGGAGGAAGTGTCATGTAGACCTCTTCATGGAGGTCACCATGAAGAAAAGCATTATTCACATCAAGTTGTTTCAAGTGCCATTTCTGAGTGGCAGCTAAAGCAAGAATAAGTCTTATTGTGGTGAGCTTAGCCACTAGAGAAAAGGTGTCTAGATAATCTTGACCTTCAATCTATGTATATCCCTTAGCAACCAATCTAACTTTATATCTTTCTATAGTTCCATCAGCTTTGTGTTTGATCTTATAGACCCATCTACATCCAATAGCTGTTTTAGTAGGTGGTAATTCAGTGAGAGTCCAAGTATGGTTAGATTTAAGAGCTTGTAATTCAGAATTCATGGCTTCAATCCAATGTTGATGTTTAGAGGCTTCATTGTAGGATTTGGGTTCATGAACTACAGAGACAGAGAGAACTGCCTTTCTATAAGAGTGTGAAAGTTTTGTATAAGAGAGAGCATTACCAATAGGATATTTCTTCCCTGAGAATTGTGGAGAACTTGAAGATAAGAATGTCGTATGATAATCAATAAATTTGTTGGGTTGTCGTGACTGTCTTGAGGACCTTCTTAACTTCGTGGGATTGTCGCTGTTGACATGAGGATCAACAGTCATAAGTGGATTATCAAAAGATGGTTGATGAGCGACAGCATCGTCAGGAAAAGAAAAGAAGGCAGTTTCTTGTGGCAAAGGCAAGAGGTCAATAGGGTCAGGCTTGTTATTAGCAGTATAAGGGAAACAATCTTCATAGAACACAACATTTCGAGAAACATTTAGAGACCTGGAATTAAGATCAAAAGTCACATATCCTTTTGTGTTCGGTTTAAAACCAAGAAATATAGAGGAGACAGCTCTAGGATCTAGCTTTTTTCTATTAGCTGTTAGTGTACTTGTGTAGCAGAGGCAGCCAAAAACTTTCAATATTGAGATGTCATACGATTTTTGATAGAGCTTCTCATAAGGAGATGTGTTTCCAAGTAAAGGAGTTGGCATGCAGTTTATCAAGAGAGAAGCATGAAGCAAGGCATAGGACCAGAAAATCGAAGGTAAATTTGCTTGAAATAATAAAGATCTAGTTACATTTAAGAGGTGTTGGTGCTTGCGTTCCACAATGCCATTTTATTGTGGTGTTTCTATACAAGAGGTTTGGTGAATAATACCCGTTTCATCATAAAATCTCTGCATTATGAATTCAGATCCATTGTCTGACCTGACCATTTTTACTTTAACATTAAATTGTCTCTCTACATGCAGAATAAAGTTCTTCAAAGTGGATTGTGTCTCAGCTTTCGAACGCATCAAGAAGACCCAAACAAAACGTGTGAAATCATCTACTACTGTCAAGAAGTATTTATGACCTTGCATGGAGGGAATGTTGCAAGGACCCCAAATATCAACATGAATAAGATTAAAAGGGGAACTTGAATGTGATTCACTGTTGGGAAATGAAAACCTTTTTTGCTTAGCTCTATGGCAGGTCTCACAAACAAAATTTTTATCAAAATCAATAGCAGGATATGTTTGTTTCAATGCTTGCAATCTTTCAGAAGAGGGATGCCCAAATCGAAAATGCCAAATGTCTATCGGCAACTTATTACATGTTAGAATGGATCTTTTACAAACAGAATCAACAATATTTTGTAAATCAGAGACAGAGTGAGTAGTTGGAGAATTAAGGGGGAGCACGTCCAGCTTGTATAACCCTTCAATGACCTCAACTGTACCAATCATCTTTTGGTGCTGCAAATCCTGTATCAAACATTTGTTGGATGTAAAAATCAATTGGCAAGGCAAAGAGGACATTAACTTGGATATGGAGATCAAGTTGAATTGAAAACATGGCAGGTATAAAACATCTTCAAGGTACAGATTATCAGAAAAACATATGTTTCCAGCATGTGTTGCCTGTACTTGATGTCCATTAGGAAGTTTAACCAAAATTGGACTGATTTTCCTATATTCTGAATATAAATGTAGTGAGGAAACTACATGATCTGTCGCTCCCGAGTCTAAAATCCACGAGTTATTATTTTCTTTACTTATATTACAGGTAACCGTAAGCACACTATTACCTGCTTGAGAAATTGAAAGACCAGAGGTGGTTCCAACTTGATTGACATGTGAAGCATTTGAAGCTAGATTTCCTCCTTGTTGTTGTAGTACAGCCATTAAGGCTTCATACTGTTGATTGGTCAACTTAATTTCCCTCATCTGTTTTTCTTGTTTTTGATCATTAGAACTTGTTGTTGCTGAATCATCCTTCACTATATTGTTAATAGAGGAGCTAGATTGCTTGTGAAATTTTTGACCTGGGGGATAACCGTGCTTCCTGTAACAGTCATCTATAGTATGTCCAGTATTACCACAATGGGTGCATAGTTTTCCTCTGCCCAGACTACCTCTACCACCTCCTCTACCCCCTCTAGCAGGTCCAGATTCTTGAGGATAGCCATGTTTCTTGTAACATTTATCCACCGTATGATAATCCTTTTCGCAGTAAGTACAAGACACGTTGGACTTGTTAGAGGTTGCAGCATTTATAGAACTTGAATACATGTCACTACCAATAATCTGTCTCTCTTGTTGAACAGCATAAGAAAACACCTTACTAATGGCAGGCATTGGATCCATCATCAGTATGTTGGACTTCACATTGCTAAAAGTTTCATTCAAGCCTCCAAGAAATTGCATCACCTGATCTTGTTTCTTTCTTTCCATAACAATTTTTAGAGCATCACAGGCACATTTTTGCTTACAAGTACACCTAGGATCGGGTCTATAACTCTCAATTTCATCCCACATTACTCTCAATTTTGTGAAATACTCGGAGACAGATTTATCACCTTGTTTCATGAAAGCCATTTATTGTTGCAATTCAGAAATTCGTAACAAATCACCTTGTGAATATCTAGATTTTAAGTCTTTCCAAATATCTTTTGCATCATCCATCCAAAGAACACTCTGACGAATTGATGGGGACACAGAATGCACTAACCAAGAAACAACCATGTTATTACATCGTTTCCATGCCGTATGTAATGGGTCATCAACTGCAGGTCGTTGGATAGAACCATCCACGAACTCTGCCTTGTTCTTCGCACTTAATGCCGTAATCATCGATTTACTCCAAGAATTGTAATTACTTGAATCCAACATTGGTGAGACCAACGAAATAGCAGGGTTCTCTCCTGGATACAAGTAGTATGGGTCGTGCACATTCACATATTGATCTGGTTGCGTTTGTCGATCTTCCGTCACACTCATGGTGTAAAATAGAAGGTATACGAACCAAGAAAAGAATGAAATCGAAAAGGAGAAAAGAAAGGATATGAGCAGCGCAGCAGAGCTCTTCAATTGAAGAGCTCTGATACCATATCAAATATATATATATGACTGTGATCAACATGCAAATCCAATTAATTAAATTCAACCCAATCTAATTATGTATCAATATATTAGTTGAATTTGATATATTTTAACCAATGCAGTTTTAATAGAATTGAGTTACGAGTTAATAACTTTTCAGGTCAAATTAATGGAATTTAAAATTTATTATTTAATTTAATTATAATTTGATTGATTAGAATGTGTCAAACTCAACCCATTGACTCAACCAATCTTTTGAAACTTAATTACAAATATTAATCATATATTTAGTTGAAAGATATATTGATATATAATTTTTATTAGTGTTATTTGAAAGATATATTATAATTATATAATTTAAGTTAAATTATCCTTTATCTTATTTATTATATTTATTTTAGTTCTTTATATATTTAAATATTTATTTTTGATCTTTTATCTTTTATATTTTGATCAATTTGGTCCTTTTTAAAACAACAATAATTTTTAATTTTGTAACTCAAATTTAAATAAATTTTCGACCGATTTAAGACATGAAACTTGTAATAATATATTTAATTATATAAAAATTATAAGATTTAATTGACATTTGAATTCATAAATTTTAAAATATTTTATTTTAATGCTTTTCTGATTTTTTTAAAAAACATTGTAAATTTGCAAAATAATATAGGGACTAAGGTAATCTGTCTTAGACCAGTCATAAGAAAAACAGGTAATCTGTGTTAGGAAAAATGTTGTGTGGAAAAATTTTCACAGAATTGAATACTAAATCTAGTATAATTCTTGAATGCCAACTTTATTTTTCTAACTAAAATAACTTTTCAGTATTTTTCTAATTAATTAAATGTCGACTTCCTTTTTAAAGTAACTTGTCGCTTTATCGCGATATAATGAAAATATTAATTTCTCCTTCTCCTAGAAAAAAAAAACAGAGAATTTTCTTTTGTTTTTCCTTTGCAATTAAGACAATCTAAGTAAGATTTTGAAATACATATACATTATAAAGCCGGTTTTAAAATAAAAATAAAAATCAGATCACTCTTTTATTGGAATAGAGCTAGAATAGAAACAATAGAATAGCAAATTTCTGCATGGTTGTTTACAACTTGTTATGGCCATGGGGGGCAAAGACACTAGGGGTTATGTTCAGATTTCCATTCAATTAATCATGACAGATAGAGAATTTATAAAACAACACCAGCACAAATGACAATATAATCCTTATTGCATTGATGTTACGTACATAATAACCATTATGTCCGATTCTTATAACAGAAACTGCATGTAGAGCTTCTGGACATATAATCTAATGCCATGTACATGTATGCATCAATTTACTGTTCATTGGATCAGTCGTGATTGATGAAGTACAAGATAAGATGACACTGATAGATGCACCACCATTGGGACCAAACATTGACAGCTTATCACAACCGATCAACTCCATCCTAATTATTGAGCAGTTTTTGCTAATGCAGCTGTAATCTGGAGCACACTTTAGATGATTAGTTAATAATGAAATTATGAATAACCCAAATATGTTTTTGTTCCTAGAAATATATATTAATATATCCCTCTAAAACATGTGTTTTAATTTTTGTATCCTGAATTTTTAAAACTGAACACTTATAGTTTCCATAAACGACAAACCTGTTAAACGCTAAGGTGGTATCTAACAGTATGTGTTGAAAATCCGTTTGACACATTAGAGCTTAACATATCTATGATAGTGTTCACTTTTAAAAATTCAGACAGCACCAAATAAATACCAAGTTTTAGAAAGTCCTAAACCAAAATTTAGTAGGACCAAAATCATATTTATAGACTCAAGTCGTATGAATACCCCAGTTTCATTGCTTTGGCTGGTGGTTCACCGTGTTGAGGCTGTGGCTGGCTTAGATGGAGACTGATAGGCGTAAGCATATCATATCCATAGTTGATAGTGTAAGGAGGATTGGATGTTGCAATATCTTCTTTTCTATGCTTTTCTTCAATAACCTGAACTCCAAATATTTAAAATAAAACTTGAACTTTTTACCTAACAAATACCGCAGGTTGAGTAAATGAGGGAAATAATATTTGATAAGTATATGAAACTATGAATGAGATATATTTCTAAGATATAAAAAAATGTGTGTTTTAGATCGTTTACCTTTTGTAATTCTGCATTTTCCTTGTGGATGAGGTTTATCTTTCTATGAAGTTCTACATTTTGTTGATGCACGAGGCTTCCCTACAATAGCATCAATGAAAACGAGCTGTCAGAAGTTTGTTGAAATATCTTTCAACCACTTGAGGAACAAAATCTGATTCATGAAACCTTTTGGTGTAGTTCTTTGACCTCATTAGTTAGAATTTGATCCTGCAGGGTAAACAATAAAATTAAGTAATCATGCAAGAGTCACGCTCACGCATGTACTATGAAATGGATCAATGGCGTCTTATATTTGAATGGAAGAGCTAGCTTTGATTTGCTTTGACATTGAACAATAATTAATGATACCTTTTTCATGCGAACACCCTTTAAACTCATCTCCAGTTGATTTTCCAGATTTCCTAGTTCTTTAATACCCAATCCAGAAAGTTCTTCGCCCATCAATTTCCTGCACTTGCCAGAAAGAAAATATGGAATAACTGTGTTTATTTTATTGCTGATACATTATGTTACAAGACTCAAAATATTGCACTATTAAAGTTCTCTTCTTATCTCATAAACTTTATCGTTTGAGAGGGAAATTTGGCGCAACAGTTAATTATTTCTTGGACCTTAGCATGGATATGAAGCTTTGGTACAGGTTAACGTACCTTTTTTCTGTTTTGTTTCGGAATCTAAAGAGTTTTTCGATTTACAAATTTTTTAAATGTTTATTTGATTGTGTGTACTTTAAATCTTTAATTAATTAACATGACCTGGCCTCTCCTACAGCTACATGTCCACTAGAAGAGAGAAATTGTATCCGACTAGCTAGAGGATCCAAGTTCATTTATACATTTGCATTCAAATCAGGTTTATTATAAGTTAAAATTAATTGGAAGAAAATGCGTTTGGGTTTGTTGTGGCTAGGCACACGCAACATGAAACTATGCAAGGAATGCTGAAGAGAATCAAAATGCTATTGATGGATACTAGATAGGCTAAAACGGAGTCTTTTCCATCACTAACCAGATGTACGTCTGTAATCGGTAATATATGGTTGGCAATTTTAACAATTCTATAATTATCTATTTCGTTTCCTTTTATATATAGTTGAGTTCAATGCTTCATTTCCTAAAATGTTGTTTTTACTTGCAACTGTTGGGTGTTTAACTTTTTACCTGTGGTATTCCTGCATGTACTGCACTTGTTGCCTCAAGCTTGCAGCTTCTCTCTGCCAAAACTAGTCAATAATAGATATAAGAGTATTGTGAGATAAAGACGACAAAATATGCCACTGTCAAGTATTTGATGCCAACCTTTCTCTTTTCACCGATGGGGCCAAAGTTCTAAACTGAAGGAGGCTGAGGCTTTTGACTTTTACACTTAATTTGATGAATGCTAATAACATGTTTTTTTTTTAATCTATATGATTTGATGATTAATTTCATGCGAGTTTCATCGAAGAGAAAATGAACCTAGATTATTTAGTGAAATTCATGAGTAGAATGTACTAATATATATATATATATATATATATATATTTTTCAGTAGATAAATTATCGATACTTTTAATTTATATCCAACTAGTATAATTTTTAAAAAAAATCAAATATTATGATGGTGGCCAGTTCTCCTTCTACACAGCAACAGATTAAAGGGACTAAGTTCCTGTATCAACTTATACTTAGATGCATGATTTTTAATATTAAAAATAATTATACAAAAAGTTTCACTTCACAAGTTTTGGCAGACACTTGCCATCATGCACTTATTTTCCAATAAAAAAACAATCATACTAATATAAAGTAGTTTCTAAGTTCTTCGTTAATTAGTATTTATTGAGTATATATTAAAGACTATATAGTTAATTAACAATTTTTTTATAAGCAAAACTTAGTGAGACACTATTTTATATGTATTGCTTATGTTGTTTTTCTATTTGAATTTGAGTTTCTTTTAGATAATGCATTTCATAAAGATTACCACTAAAGAATTATGCAAATTACCAATATAAGATTATTTTACTTTAAATTGAAAAACCGTAATTCCTCTATTTTTTTATTATAAGAATAAAAACTGATTTTACATATATTAAAAATAAGATAGTTAATTGCACTAAATTTTAATATATATTTCTGTAATATTTTTCCTAAATAACACTGGTTATAAATGTTAAAAAAATAGTGTAATTAAAGGTCATACATTTAAAGAAAAATATTTTAGAGAGAGAATCATTAAATGAGATAAAATTAGTTAAAATTTCTTTATCTTTAAGAAAAAAATGTGTATTCTTTTTACTTATAACATAGATTAGAGAGAGTATAAAAACACTTAAAGACTTATATATATACCATGGAGCATGTTGATTAATTGATGTAGAGTTGTTCTAACTTAATGATTTTAAATTCAAATATTAGATATAAAATTATGTAATTTAAATATTTAGAGTGAAAGTTTTGTTATCTATAATAATTTTATTTAATTCAAATAAAATTGTCTCCGTTAAAGAGATACTGGTAGTCTATAAAAAAAGAACTATATAAATTATCTTTTATTTATTTAGAATAGTGAATAAAAGATGCTTTTATAATTTTTGATCGGAATGTCAAATTTGATTCATCCCGAAATTTCTAGATTTATAGTTTAGTGCTAAACATCATATGCAACAATTAATGATAGGCACTAGTAGCACTACATTACATCAAGCCTCAACGCCGAGCGTTAGAATGTTCGATTGCCTTTGTTCTAGAGCATCGTGCATTTCAACAGGGCACCCAAGTACCCAAAGTAAGAGTTGCTTTCTGCCTAGTAGCCCTAGGCACAACCACTTAGTGCTAAGTGTTAGAATTTATGGAATTTCATAATACCTAAGTATCAAGTCGACTGTTTCTGAGATGCTACATGAGTGTCAAGTGCCAGCATATACTGTGAGACAATGACGACAAAACCCTAAACATATAACTTGAGTTTTGAAATAAAATAATGGAGGCTAACATAAGAGGAAAAAATCTTTGAAGAGATCATAAGCATTCTTGAAGCTTTGGAAGTCTTGAAAAAGGATCTAGTACATAGCAGATGCATCATCCATTCATCCCTGACTCTAATATCTTTGTTCTTTCTTGCTTTAGAATTTGCAACTAAATTATCTTAGGTTAGAGTTGATGAACTTAAATTTGGATTCCTATCTGACATTTTTTCTTAGTCAATATAAGTTTATCTCATGTTATTGTGTTTTCATCTTTGCATCCAACTTTTTTTTTATAACTGACAGCTTTTAAATTGGTTTCAGAGTTATCAAAAATTGTTAACACAAGTTGTTCAATGTTTCTATTCCTTAATTAAGAATCAAGATTCAATCTCTAATTTAGATAAATGAAATTGTGACTGAAGCACATATCACTTTATTTTTTTATTTATAAAGACCAACATTGAAAATAAGTTATAACTTCTTATTAAACATTCCTTTTTTTTTTTTTTTTTTAATTTTAGTGGATGTATTATGATTGAAAAACCGTGTAAAACTAGAACTGTAATAGATTGTCATGGGACTTTGTGATAATGAGTTGTCAAGAATATTTTTATTTATGTTTAATTAAAATAGGGATTATTTAAAAGGATTAAATATCATAGTATGGGTAAATAGGTTTTGAATCAATGAAATAATCTTAATCTAACTTTATTATTTTCTATTTTTTTTTCATGTTATAACTTGTTGGGAATATAAGAAAGGTAAAATACCAAGAAATTAATCTTCATCAATGAGTCATGAAAAAACCACATAAATGAAATTAACATCAAATTTTTAGGGAGCATTTGGTAGTAGAGAAGTTTTTTCATATATAAAAATCATGATTTTTGAGAATTACAAATTCTGAGAATCATGATTCCTATAAATAATTAAAATATGTTTGGTTACTCATAAAAGTTTCTGGGAATATTCATAAATGATTCTCGGGAAATTAAAGATTTTCATGTTTGGTTACAAAAATATATGCCTGGGTTTATAAATATTTTTTACAAAAACATCCTTTATATATATACACACTTAAATCTTATTACAAATATGATATTAAACTATTTTAAAAAGTTAAAAACTTATTAAAATTATTTAAATACATAATCAATAAAAAAAGTAAAAAAGAAAAATGCTACATTATAATTAAGAAGAATAAAATATAGTATTTTGTTTCATTCAAATAAAAAAATTAAAAAGTGTTAACAAATACCATTAAAATGTAAAAATAAAATAGATTTTAATAATACTATTAACATTGATAAGATCAAGAAATAATGAGATACAAGAAAGAGAGAAAGAGAAATAGAGATATGGGAGGAAGGGAGGAGGGAGAGGCAGAAAGAGAAATAAAAGGAGAAAGAAAAAGAGAAAGAGAGAGGGAGAGGGATAGAGGAAAAGAGAAGGGGAGCAAAAGTGAGAGAGAGAGAGAGAGGAAAAGAGAAATAAAAGGGATATTATGGCCTTTTTAAATACATAAAGTTTTTTTCCTAACTTTAAAAAATTGGATTCACTCTCCCTCTAAAAATGTTTTTGTGAAAAAGTGAGATAAAAAATTGCTCTTGAAAAATTATATTCTTGGGAATTTTTTTTTAAAAATAATTATCAAACATGAAAAATTAAAAGACTCACTTTAAGATTCTTAAAAATGTAAAAATATTTTGCATACTAAACACCCTCCAACGTAGCGAGGAGATTAGTCACTGCTGTCGGCGGTGGATACTCCAGGAACGAACCTAAAAAAAAAAAAACACCTCTCTTAAGATTATTTGTTAGTTATTCTCAATAGTCTTTAATACTACTTGTCAAAAATATGAGGTACATAAAACATTGAGAGGTGGTCTTCATTAATGAAGTATGAGCAAATCTTACAAGTAAACTTAATATCACACTCAAATTCAAAACTTTTAGGGTTCATTTGGCGGAAGAAGAAAAAAGTAGAATGAATGGAAATACAAAAGGTGAAAAGAAGTGACAAATAAAATGAAAAAAAGTGTTTGATATATGACAAATAAATAAGAAATAATAAGAAAAATTCAATGAAAAAATATATATAGGCAAAAAAGTTGTGAGAATAACTAGTGTTCCACATATTTTTTATTTCTCTCCTCTTTAATTTTCCTTTTACCAAACACACTCATCTTTTTTATAGTCATATACTTTTTCTCTCTCCATCTTATTTCTCGTTCATCAAACAAAAGATCCACATTAAGTTATTTTCTTATTTTTCATACTTATATATTGTTCAACCTTTTCGTTTCTACCATATCAGAAAAAGAAAAAAAAAATTCTGTTCTACCTAATGTGAGACGTCATATTTACATTTGTATTTCAACAAACTTAAATCTTATATTATGTGCATAGGATAATAAGGATATGCCTAAACTTTTATACAAATTATCGAAGTATCTTATCACTAGATTGATCCGGTGAGTTGTAAATTTTTCTATACTCTGCATCAATTTACTTCAAGTTATACTTGCTGATAGATTGAACGATTACACGGTGAAGGATATACACACGCTACAAGAAAGCAATAATGGTCATAAATAGTTACCAAAAGTCAAAAACTTGTAAGTAAATAATTTTTTTTATATTTACTCACAGACAATTTATCTAATGTATTATATGAGTTATATAACAAGAGACTTTTTTAAGTTTTATTTAAAAAAATAAAAAAAAAAGTTGTAAGTGTAAGTATTTGAGTCTATCTTTTACTAAATATTTATAGGTAAAAATAGTGTGTTGTTTTACTTTTAAAAATAAAACATCTATAGATACATGACACTTTTCATAAAGTGATAGGAATCAAACTCATATTTGAGTGAACGAGTTTTATCTTATCAATTAATTAGTAAATCTATTTTATATGTGAACTAGCTATTAGGATTGGCCTAATGTTGAAAGATTGAAATAATATACATATAATCTTATATTTAAATATATTATTGTTGTAATTCTAATAAATAAAAATGAAAAAAATTTATATGCAATTAACCATGAGAGTAACTTACCAATTTAAAGTCTCATGAAGCAGGCGAAATCTAACGGTTTAACAGTTTTGAGGTTTACTAGTTATTATATATATTGTATCTATAAGGGGTATAAAATAGTCTTTGCAAGAGTCATGGATATACTATACATATTAGCTAGTGTTGACAATGACATCATTGGACAATGTATTGAACGTAGTGCCTCAGAATTTTCTGTATGAAATGAAACAAGGGTCTTAGGGTCGGGTGTTCATATATACTGCATTTAGACGCTGAATTGAAATTCTAGTTTTAGAATCTGCCAATACTTGCAAACTATAGGAGTCAAGAATGTGGAGTTGATATATATAACCAAGTGCAACAAATTGATCTAGAGCATAATGTTACCTTGACTTGTGAAGCAGGATTCATTAGCTGATAATGGTCCTCTTTGACTTTGTTGTAGCGCTCAATAACGGATTTCATGCTGCCAGATATGTAGAAGTCCATATTAATGGATAGAAAATGATAATGTTTCTGTAATTCCTAAGAAACACTACTTTAACCAATAGAATTTATCGTACACTACATATATAAATTTGATACGGTATATGTTCTATAAGTTATAAAGTTCTATAACAACCAAGAATATACTTTTACCAAAACAATTTCTACCTCACACCACCCCAGATATATATGTTACTTATTATTATTTTTAATTTAAATATTCACCATATATATTATGCCAAATATTGTAAGGATAGATTTTATCAAATATGGTGACAGCCATTAGAGCAACAGGATTGTATCTGAGAAAGAAAACTTAGGGAAGAAGAAGAGAGGAGAAAAATATGATATTCATTTAATGATTTTGTATATCAAAACAACTTATCGGAATCAGTTACAGAATTGCCTTTTATAAAGGCTAAAATAAAGCTAACTATAATGGTTAGTTAACCACAGTAACTAACTAGAATTAATCAACTAAGATCCCCCCTCAAGCTAGGAATGGATATCATACATTCCAAGCTTGACATACAAAAATTTGAAGGCAGCAGGAGAAAGTGCTTTGGTGTAGATATCTGCTAATTGGTTTGGTGAGGTAACAGGAAGAAGTTTCACCAAGCCATTTTGAACTTTTTCTCTAATAATATGACAATCGATTTCAATGTGTTTGGTACGTTCATGGAATACAGGGTTTGCAGCAATGTGTAAAGCTGATTTGTTATCACAATATAAAACGGCCGGTTGAATGAATGAAATGCCAATGTCTTTTAAGAGGAAAGTGAGCCACTGCAACTCACAAACAACACTAGCCATTGCACGGTATTCAGCTTCTGAGGAGCTTCGAGATACAGTAGCTTGTTTTTTTGGATTTCCATGAAATCAAAGAGGAGCCAAGATAAACATAGAAACCGGTAATCGATCTTCGAGTATCTAAACATCCAGCCCAATCAGAATCACTAAATGCTTTAAGTTGTAAAATATTGGATGCTGAAAAGAAAATCCCAGCTCCAGGTGAGCCTTTAATGTACCTCAGTATTCTATTAGCTGCTTGTTGATGTGCTGTGGTAGGAAGTGAAACATACTGACTTAGATATTGTACAGCATAGGAAATGTCAGGTCGAGTATTGGTAAGATAAATGAGTCTGCCAATTAGCCTTCTAAAAGAGGAAGCATCAACAGTAGAGAGTGGTGAACCAGCTGTTTGGTGAAGTTTTGTAGTGTAATCTGTTGGTGTGGAGACAGGTTTAGAGCCAAGCACTCCTGAATCAATTAGTATGTCAAAGGCATATTTTCTTTGACAAAGATTGATGCTAGATGAGACCTTGCAACCTCAAACCCCAAGAAAAATCTTAAGTCTCCCAAATCTTTAATCTTGAAAGCAACATCAAGTAATTGAGTAATGTTTGTAATTTCAGCCAAGTCATTTCCTGTCAACACTATATCATCCACATATACTAGTAGTGCAGTGAAAGAATTGAAATTATGCTTTAAAAATAATGAATAATCAGTAGAACATTGTTTGTAACCATGAGAAATAAGGAAAGTGGATAGTCTAGCATACCACTGCCTGCTAGCTTGTTTTAAGCCATATAAAGATTTATGCAAGCGAAAAACCTTATTCGATTGATTTTGATACATTCCAGGAGGAAGTGTCATGTAGACCTCTTCATGGAGGTCACCATGAAGAAAAGAATTATTCACATCAAGTTGTTTCAAGTGCCATTTCTGAGTGGCAGCTAAAGCAAGAATAAGTCTTATTGTGGTGAGCTTAGCCACTAGAGAAAAGGTGTCTAGATAATCTTGACCTTCAATCTATGTATATCCCTTAGCAACCAATCTAACTTTATATCTTTCTATAGTTCCATCAGCTTTGTGTTTGATCTTATAGACCCATCTACATCCAATAGCTGTTTTAGTAGGTGGTAATTCAGTGAGAGTCCAAGTATGGTTAGATTTAAGAGCTTGTAATTCAGAATTCATGGCTTCAATCCAATGTTGATGTTTAGAGGCTTCATTGTAGGATTTGGGTTCATGAACTACAGAGACAGAGAGAACTGCCTTTCTATAAGAGTGTGAAAGTTTTGTATAAGAGAGAGCATTACCAATAGGATATTTCTTCCCTGAGAATTGTGGAGAACTTGAAGATAAGAATGTCGTATGATAATCAATAAATTTGTTGGGTTGTCGTGACTGTCTTGAGGACCTTCTTAACTTCGTGGGATTGTCGCTGTTGACATGAGGATCAACAGTCATAAGTGGATTATCAAAAGATGGTTGATGAGCGACAGCATCGTCAGGAAAAGAAAGGAAGGCAGTTTCTTGTGGCAAAGGCAAGAGGTCAATAGGGTCAGGCTTGTTATTAGCAGTATAAGGGAAACAATCTTCATAGAACACAACATTTCGAGAAACATTTAGAGACCTGGAATTAAGATCAAAAGTCACATATCCTTTTGTGTTCGGTTTAAAACCAAGAAATATAGAGGAGACAGCTCTAGGATCTAGCTTTTTTCTATTAGCTGTTAGTGTACTTGTGTAGCAGAGGCAGCCAAAAACTTTCAATATTGAGATGTCATACGATTTTTGATAGAGCTTCTCATAAGGAGATGTGTTTCCAAGTAAAGGAGTTGGCATGCAGTTTATCAAGAGAGAAGCATGAAGCAAGGCATAGGACCAGAAAATCGAAGGTAAATTTGCTTGAAATAATAAAGATCTAGTTACATTTAAGAGGTGTTGGTGCTTGCGTTCCACAATGCCATTTTATTGTGGTGTTTCTATACAAGAGGTTTGGTGAATAATACCCGTTTCATCATAAAATCTCTGCATTATGAATTCAGATCCATTGTCTGACCTGACCATTTTTACTTTAACATTAAATTGTCTCTCTACATGCAGAATAAAGTTCTTCAAAGTGGATTGTGTCTCAGCTTTCGAACGCATCAAGAAGACCCAAACAAAACGTGTGAAATCATCTACTACTGTCAAGAAGTATTTATGACCTTGCATGGAGGGAATGTTGCAAGGACCCCAAATATCAACATGAATAAGATTAAAAGGGGAACTTGAATGTGATTCACTGTTGGGAAATGAAAACCTTTTTTGCTTAGCTCTATGGCAGGTCTCACAAACAAAATTTTTATCAAAATCAATAGCAGGATATGTTTGTTTCAATGCTTGCAATCTTTCAGAAGAGGGATGCCCAAATCGAAAATGCCAAATGTCTATCGGCAACTTATTACATGTTAGAATGGATCTTTTACAAACAGAATCAACAATATTTTGTAAATCAGAGACAGAGTGAGTAGTTGGAGAATTAAGGGGGAGCACGTCCAGCTTGTATAACCCTTCAATGACCTCAACTGTACCAATCATCTTTTGGTGCTGCAAATCCTGTATCAAACATTTGTTGGATGTAAAAATCAATTGGCAAGGCAAAGAGGACATTAACTTGGATATGGAGATCAAGTTGAATTGAAAACATGGCAGGTATAAAACATCTTCAAGGTACAGATTATCAGAAAAACATATGTTTCCAGCATGTGTTGCCTGTACTTGATGTCCATTAGGAAGTTTAACCAAAATTGGACTGATTTTCCTATATTCTGAATATAAATGTAGTGAGGAAACTACATGATCTGTCGCTCCCGAGTCTAAAATCCACGAGTTATTATTTTCTTTACTTATATTACAGGTAACCGTAAGCACACTATTACCTGCTTGAGAAATTGAAAGACCAGAGGTGGTTCCAACTTGATTGACATGTGAAGCATTTGAAGCTAGATTTCCTCCTTGTTGTTGTAGTACAGCCATTAAGGCTTCATACTGTTGATTGGTCAACTTAATTTCCCTCATCTGTTTTTCTTGTTTTTGATCATTAGAACTTGTTGTTGCTGAATCATCCTTCACTATATTGTTAATAGAGGAGCTAGATTGCTTGTGAAATTTTTGACCTGGGGGATAACCGTGCTTCCTGTAACAGTCATCTATAGTATGTCCAGTATTACCACAATGGGTGCATAGTTTTCCTCTGCCCAGACTACCTCTACCACCTCCTCTACCCCCTCTAGCAGGTCCAGATTCTTGAGGATAGCCATGTTTCTTGTAACATTTATCCACCGTATGATAATCCTTTTCGCAGTAAGTACAAGACACGTTGGACTTGTTAGAGGTTGCAGCATTTATAGAACTTGAATACATGTCACTACCAATAATCTGTCTCTCTTGTTGAACAGCATAAGAAAACACCTTACTAATGGCAGGCATTGGATCCATCATCAGTATGTTGGACTTCACATTGCTAAAAGTTTCATTCAAGCCTCCAAGAAATTGCATCACCTGATCTTGTTTCTTTCTTTCCATAACAATTTTTAGAGCATCACAGGCACATTTTTGCTTACAAGTACACCTAGGATCGGGTCTATAACTCTCAATTTCATCCCACATTACTCTCAATTTTGTGAAATACTCGGAGACAGATTTATCACCTTGTTTCATGAAAGCCATTTATTGTTGCAATTCAGAAATTCGTAACAAATCACCTTGTGAATATCTAGATTTTAAGTCTTTCCAAATATCTTTTGCATCATCCATCCAAAGAACACTCTGACGAATTGATGGGGACACAGAATGCACTAACCAAGAAACAACCATGTTATTACATCGTTTCCATGCCGTATGTAATGGGTCATCAACTGCAGGTCGTTGGATAGAACCATCCACGAACTCTGCCTTGTTCTTCGCACTTAATGCCGTAATCATCGATTTACTCCAAGAATTGTAATTACTTGAATCCAACATTGGTGAGACCAACGAAATAGCAGGGTTCTCTCCTGGATACAAGTAGTATGGGTCGTGCACATTCACATATTGATCTGGTTGCGTTTGTCGATCTTCCGTCACACTCATGGTGTAAAATAGAAGGTATACGAACCAAGAAAAGAATGAAATCGAAAAGGAGAAAAGAAAGGATATGAGCAGCGCAG